ATGTAAGGGCTTACCTTAAATGATGCCTCTTAATCCAATCTTCTTTCCTGTAGTTTTTAGCTCTGCCTCCAGCGCTGGTGCGGGTCTCCGATCCAGCGCTGACTCCTCTGTCCTCCTCTTCTCTCATCTCCCACGGTGTCTGTGCGGGTGCACGCTGCTCCATAAACTTACCTTGTGTCTCTCTTCGCCTCCCGGCCAAACATCTGAACTGCGCATGCGTCCGCCCCAAGATCCTTTGCGACCGCCCGAGAAATTTTCAGATGTTTGGACGGGAGCCAGGTAAGCATTAAACCTTTTTAAAAAGTTTGTACTTTTAATCGTTTTGCATATGTCTAATGCTCGCCAACAGTAGATATATTCAAAAATCAATGAGTGCTTAATAACCCTTTAAGGTTGGTAGGAAATTCTAGCCATGTATACCCAGCATACAAGAAGGTCCCTGGGGCTGGGGTGTAAACAATGCAGCAGACTGATCGAGGCTGCAAACATTTTCATAGTTCTCCTTTTGCACAAATGTAAGCAAAGAAAAGATTATATGAATGTGAACTTATTTATTACTGTTGTGTAAAAGGAGGACACTATAGAGACTAGTAAAGAGGGGACAATGAGGCTCAGCACTGTTCTGTGCCTGAGGCTGATGATGGCCGACTCAGAGGGCCTCCGATAGACCCCAGACACACTGAGGGTGGGGAGCTCCAGGGGGGCTCACTAGTAGGAATTCAGGAAACTGAAGCCAAGCAGAGCAGCAGAGGCCAGCAACAGCGCGTCACGTGACCAGCCTGTTTATAAACTCGGCACGCATGCGCACTCCTCTCCCCTCATTCATTCACTGACAACTTACGCAGCGATCTTTGTTGAGATCGCCGCCCCGCACAGCGATACAATCCCCACTGTGTTTTAACAAGGAAGCCGGCGGGCACGGAGAAACCAGATTCAGTCCTAATAAGGCGATTCATTCAAATTACGATCGCTAATCCCTTGCGTTATACAAGACTAGGCGGAAAGATGAGCCATGACTAATTCATTGGTCAGAGATCATCTCCCTCCAGCCTGTTCGGGGGCGCTATCATGAGACGGGACGGGGAAGGAGGGCATGTCAGAGCAGCTGTGTGCAGATGTAAATCCTAGCAATGGTCCTGGGACGTATAATCAGACTACATAACACATCCATATCGATCAGTGTACACAGCATCGAGGGGCGCAGTCAGGAGTACAATCCAATGTCCGATTGGCTGTCACACTTTGCACTCTCACATTGATCAGTGCAGGGTGACAAGTGGAAGTGTACAGTCGGGGGGGTCTGTGTTCCCTGACATGTCAGCGGCGCTCTATGCTGGGCTATGAATGAGCCGGTGACTGACAGCTGGGAGAACATTACGTAGCTGGAAGCACTCAGGCCTCCACAGCCGGATTGGTCTTCTATGTGCAGGGAGACCCCCGGCCTAGCAGTGCCCGGAAATGAATGAACAAGCTGCCAGGCTGAGTCAACAACACCGACAAAAACAATGAACGTCACAAGCCGTCTGCCAGCACTAAGCACCGAGCGAAGCGAACACAGTCCTCCCAGCACGGCTCCCGGGCTCACCGGCCGCCGCACAGGACAAGGCAGCCCCAGCTGTGCCCTGACATAGCACCCACACCACTTCCCAACACAAACTTTCTTTATCCACTTACCAAGCCCGTCGCCATTACCTAATCTCTACCCCGTAAAATGACTTGGGGGCAGGAGTAACAAGACAGCTCGGGCTGCAATTGGCTACGGTCACCGTCTGTCAACTTAAGCCTTGTTCCTATTGGAAAAAAGTTATAGCCAGCCGCTATTGGCTAGCCCTCTGAAAGCAGAACCGTCCGTCTACTGGTGGCGGCGTCTGACAATCTTGCGTATGTTCGCCCTATGATTGGCCTGCTCTGGAATGTTTTGTCAATGTTGATCGGAGATTTTAGGCGTCAGTGCTGACGGGAAGTGTAGTTGTTAGATCTTTAACTCCATGTTTGTGTCTACGGACTGCTGGGGACGGCAGACTACACTCCCCACAAGGCACTGCGCGGGGGTCTACTGATTGTAAACAAGAGTCACTGGGACACGTGTATCATATTGTGCTAGTTATGATACCGAGAATGAGATGAGAGAGGGCGCTGTGTGTACACGGTTCATATTTTCCATTGTCAAGTGCTGGGGAAAAAATAACAGCTGCTACACTGTAGCTTTTTGCAAGCTATAACCTGAAATGTTGACGGAGCAGGCTGGATGTGTCCACAAGAGATTAGGTCTGCTGTAACCATGAGTGACACAGTGTAGAAACATTTGCTGAAAGGCATAGTCCAGCTTTAGAAATAATAATAAATGCATTAGGAATGCACCAATACTATTTTTTCAAGAATTTTTCTGCACCCCAGTTCCTATGTTTTTGGGCATAGTTGAGTCACTTAGCCTTGTTTCCACGTCGGAGGTATATTTGTTTGGCTGCAATTCTTCCATGAAGACCACTTGTGGCCAGACTTCTCCGGACAGTAGATGGGTGTACCTGGATCCCACTGTTTTACTCCAGTTTGGTGCTGATGGCACTGCTGGACATATGTCAAAGGGAAGTAAGCATGATGTGTCTTTCATCTGCTGCATTAAGTTTCCTTGGCCGACCACTGCATCTACCGTCATCAACATTGCCCGTTTCTTTGTGCTCCTTCAAAAGAGCTTGAAGAGCACATCTTGAAACCCCAGTCTGCTTTGAAACCTTTGCCTGGGAGAGACCTCGCTGATGCAGTATAACTAACTTGTGTCTTGTTGCTGTGCGCAATCTTGCCATGGTGTATGACATGTCTTCCACAACCTCACCTTAGTAGCAGAGTTTGGCCGTTCCTCACCCAGTTTAAAGCCTCCCACACAGCTGTTTCTGTTTTAGTTAATGACTGTTTTTCCACCTACATATGAAATTGATGATTAGCTCATGCTTGGTATAATTGGTTAATCATACACCTGAATCTAATACTACAAAATCCCTGACTTTGTGCAAGTGTAAAGGTGCCCATACACCTGACGATTATTGTAAGATAATCGCGGGTGATCCCGCGATCGTACCATAATCGGCAGGTGTATGGACAGCATGCAACCGCATTTACTGTACGGTCGCACAACTTTCCTCTTACCAGCATGCTATAAAACCCGCTGAAAATCGTCCGATTTTCGCCAGGTTGGTAGTGCGATCGCAAGACGAAAGCCACATGGGAAGGTGTGCGCAAGCGCACATTGCCCGCTCAGCATTGCAATCATCGGCAAGCCCTCCCCTCAGGGGGGAGGGCTTGCGATGATTGCAAGTACTATCTGCCTGTCCAAGATGGGCAGGTCGTACGACATTTTAATGACCTTACCACCATCGCACAACGAAAGTCGAATTTCCCAACGAATTGCTATCGCTCAATTCTGACAGTGATTCTAATTTACTATCGCTGTTTTCTACCTGGTCTAAAACCGCTTTTGACCTAAAGGGACTCTTTTTGGATGCCATGGCCGTTCTCAAGTTTCCAGGCAGAAAGAACAGTAAAAGGGCAGGCAGGGCACTGGACAAAGCTCTAGGGACAAAATTGAAGTGAAATAGTTTGATACATAAATGTAATTATAGCGGATTACATTGTATTCTGTGTATATTGCATGTTTTCACTTTTTAATTTCCCGCCGGCTCCGCCCCCCGCTGTGACGCTGAAAACTAAACTAAAAGTCAGATGCCGGCCTTGGACCCGCCGCGTACAGCAGAGGACACCGCGGGCTCGCAGGGACAAGGTGAGTGACACTTATGTGCAATCCCGAGTGTGGCTCGTGGTTACCGCTATTGGTACTGAAAATTAACCCCGAGCCACACTCGTGAATACCGCCAGGGAGGTTCATTGAAAAAACAAACAAAAGACATGATTTTGACAAGTCTTTCATTAAAAAAAATGAATCCACTGATGTAATCCAGCGTCAATCACAACGTCCAGTGTTGTTCACTGTGACGACGACTCGAGGAAAAAATAAAATACATAAATAGAAAAAAAAACATTTTTAAACCTGACACCCGCCAACCCATCCACTCACGGTGAACTCCAGCCGCAGATTGGCATTCTGACAGATTCCGGCAAAATATAAACAATTGGGCGAAGCTAGCGGTGGCAGTTAGCTAGCTCCACCCAACTGTTTACATTTGTCCGTGACAGGAATTAGCTATGTGAGCTATGATTGGGCAAAGTCATCATTACTTTGCCCAATAATGGCTCTCACAGTGGACTGTGCTGTGATTAGGGAAAGCAATGCACCTGACCTGTGGTCAGGTGCATTGCTTTACCCAATCAGGGCTTCACAAGACACTGTGTGGTGTGCAGTGCCTTGAGGGGAGCTCGGCAGGTGAATAGCCTGCCAAACGCCCTGATAGTTCATGTGTTCGCCGAACGCATGAACTGCTGATGTTTGAGTCAAGCTGTTGGTCGACTCCAACATCGAGCCCATCATTATTAATGAGTAACTGACCAGGGGCAAATGTCTGTTGAAAAACTTAAAATCATGTAAAAGAATAATCTGATGTCTTTGTACCACCATGACAGCCAAACAGCATTTTGAAGGGGAGGATTTTTTTTTGCCAAATGCTATTTTCCCAAGGTTAGGCCAGCACTCCTATAGACTGCTTTGTTTCTCTCTTCCTCCTTCACAGTGCGTATGGAAGCTGATCGTTATCGTAATATTTTTAAGCTCTTTTGTCTCCAGTGCCATTTTAAAACTGCACTGGGATAGTGTTTTTTTGGTATCAGTGACTCCTGCTGGTCCTTAAAAGGGTCCTGCACTGGTTCCAGAAGGTAAAAGAGCGCACCACAACTAGCTGGTATGCCAAAAATGCTGCAGCTGCACTTGTTTGCATTTTTTTTCCCAGCAAAATGTATGTCCGCTGGCCACAGCTGAGCAGTAGTTTGCCTAAAGCTGGCCACAGACTGCTAAAATTTTGGCTGCTGACTTGGCTGAAATTCAAGAACTGTGTGGCCCTGTCGGCACCACTCCATTCTACAAAGTCAGTTTTTCAATCAACTTTTGTTGAAGGTTCTGTCATGAAAATTGTCAGCCGGACAGTGATTACAGCCAAATAATACAATAGCCCCACAAGGAGTTTCGAGCATTTTTTTACTACAGGTGTATGGCCAGCTTTAGACTTCTATGGAGCCATGTTCTGGGGGTTAAGATATTTGTGAGGTCTATTCCACAAATCTATGAAAAGGTACTGCATAAGCATGACCAGCGCACAGACGCTTTCCTGAAAGGATGTAAACAAATACACCGGAGGCTGTGGCCATGATTTTAAGGCAAGTATATGCCTGGGGAAGGTGGAGTAGTTTAGCAAAAAGGATAAGTGCACTTTGTTTGAAACAATATAAAAGCATATTTATCTCAATACAGGTTTCTATACATGTTTACAATATAATCTCATCTTATAACTGTAGCTTTGACAATGTGCGGCTGTCTTCTCTGTTGTATATTTGTTTGTCTGGATTGATGTTGTAAGTTTTGCAACTTTAGCATCCCCTTTCTATGAATGCACATATGATTCTTCCTGTAGAGCTTTAGGATTGTCTTCCCATGACAGACACTCATCTGATGTCTATTAGTACTTTCTCTGAACAACTCCAGTGTAAAGCTGGGTACACACAGTGCAAATTTCACCCAATTTCTGCTTAATCGGCCGAAATTCACTCTGTGTACCAAGCTTCAGATCGTAGGTTCCAATTTGGTCCGTTGGGAAAGGTATCTGTCGAGGGGATAGGGTCACCGATACTGGAACTTCAGGTCAGAGGGAGATTTCCTCTGACGGGCAGTGCCACAAGGGAACATGGAGCAGAGAAGCTGGCTCCATGCTGTCTAGCCGGCTCAATGCTGATTGGCCGGTAAAAGCCGGCTTCCCAGCCAATCATCATCAAGCCAGCCAAACTGATATGATATGGCGACACAACCTCCACCCTGCAGACACCTCATTCCCCTCACATCGATCCTCAGCAGCAGTCATTACCGTACCAGTCCCTTGGCCAGCTGGGAGACAGCGCTCTCCCAGTTCTGCCCACGTCTCCTGTCTGCACAGCACCGCCTGCTTGATGCTGTTAGAGGATTTCTGAATAAGAGTGCTGGGCAGTCTGCGCATGCGCTGAGGAACGATCGCGCGGGCACTGTACACACAGCAGACGTGGGCAGATCCGGGAAAGTAGTAGAGTGGTGTCTGCCCAGCTGGCCTAGGGACATCTGTGGTATGGTAATGGCTGCTGCTGAGGATCGATGTGAGGAGAATGAGGTGTCTGCAGGGTGGAGCTTGTTTCACCATATTGTCAGATCTGTTTGGCCGGCCTTGATGCCGATTGGCTGGGAAGCCGGCTTCCCGGCCAATCAGCATCGAGCCGGTCAAACAGAATGGAGTTGGCTTCCTGAGTCAACCAAGAAGCCAGGCGGTGGGTAATGAGACGCCGCCTGGCTCCGATTGCCCGGAAGCTGGCTCTATGCTACCGGAAGTACCAGTATCGGCGAGTACCGAAATATAAATATCGGTACTCGATACCGAAAAACCAGTATCGGTGCATCCCTAGTTTTAAGCATACCCTGTATTAACTAAAGCTAAAAAAAGATTTGCACTTTAAATCTGGTTAAAAACCAGCTAGATTAAAAAACAAAAAAACATAGTGCCTGCATTTTCTATATTACTGCCTAATCTATTCAAAATTCTTCTTTCTGCAGGAGATGTGTGTAAAAATACATACCAG